TGATGACGCGCAAGAACCAAGAATGGCTGATTGTGCATATCATACGACCGGATGCGCGTACGCAGACTGGCAACTTCTTTCAGCTCAAGGGTTCTGTTTTCGAGAAGATCAAAACAGACTTCAATACGGAAAAGAGAGAACGGTGCGCTCACTATCTTGTTGTTTAATTGCTCTGACTTGCGTATAGTTGTGTCCAGGTCGCGTGGTCACCTGAAACTGACGCCCCAGCCGTATGGGCAGAACTCATCAACAAGATTAAGGAGGGTTTGCTGTCCGCCTTTGACTCGGCAGTTTCTCAGAGAGAAGAAGAGGTGAAGAAATCGGAAGGTCAGCGTCAGATGCCAGGATGGAACTTCTGCACATTCTTCATCTTGAAGGTATGATGGCCATTCTCTAAGAAGAACCTCATAACCCCCTTTTTTCTAGGAAAGCCTCGCAAGCTCCTTTGAGGGTGTTAACCTTTTCGAAGACGCGTACATCCAATATGACGAACTTGAAACGTCATTTTACCAGGTCTTGAAGGAGAAGAACTTATCATGGTTTGGTACTCTAATCAATCCTGTGAGCGGAGATGATTCCGCGCCTCTGCTGTCCGTCACAAGGAAGTCATATCGCGATCTTATCCTCGCGAACACAATATCTGTATTCGACTTTCGAATATACCTGCTCTCGCGCCAATGTGAACTACTAGCTCATAGAGGCCGGATAAATGAGATTAGCAGGAAGGCAGCTGCATTCTTGGGTGGATTTGGCAGAAGATTGCGCGATGTTGAGGTATGTTGCTTATATTTTTTGGCTCATTAACGCTGCTCATTCAAATCAGACAACATTACCACCATTTTTTATCGAATCTTGGATCTATTCATCTGCGCTTAGCGTCGTTGAATATTGTGATCGATGGGCGTCAGGCTTCCAGATAGCTGGACCCAAACTCAACACCTTCAATGCTGCCAAGGGAGAGCTACTAGAACTTGCCCGGACACAGGTATTTCTTCTCCAAATTCAGGATGAAAATGGCATTCACTCATTGTCAATTACAGCTCGATATCATTGGGGTCACCATCCGGCACCTGCCCAAGCGCCCTCCATTCTCGTCTTCGTTCAGCTCATCTGAATCACCTGCCCAAACTGATCTGACACAAAAAATCAGTAATATCGAGCTCCTGGCTGCCATTGACGATGCCGAAGCGTTCTATAGCCTGTATGTTGATATAACAACCCGAGCTATTGATATGTACACAAAAGCTGGACGGAAAAAATTTGCGCTGCGGTTGCACGGAAGTCTCGCCGCTCTCGATTTGTAAGGTCCTCTGACCTTGCTCATAGCCCCTCTAACCAAATCTCTAGGCATCGTGGCCAGTATGAAACCGCCCTGTCCATCTACACCTCTCTCCCCGCTCACTATGCACCGCACATGTGGACCTCCCTCGAGTCCTTCATGCTTTCTAGGGCCCTAGACGCCCATGCTGATTTCCAACAGGAGAAAGACACAGAATGGATCCATATTCTGCTTTCATTCCTCAAATCGTACATCGAAAATCTTGGCTCGGAATTGCTCATGCACGAAGATGATAAAGTTGAGTATATCACAAAACTTGTGGACAACTTGCGCCAGGCCGCTTCGAAGCTTGAAACAGGTAGGTTAGCATACCGTTTCTATTTGAAGTGACGATTTCATTTAGTTTTCTTAGATTTGGCACATCCTGACCACCCTGCCGTATCACTGCAGGTATCATCGAATGCTCGAATAGCAGAAACAAGAGATGGCTGTTTCTTGGATGTCACAGTTCACAACCACCTTCCCTGTGTTAGTTTGGCTTGATTCCTATCCCTTTTTATTGAGTCCTACGATTTCATTGTGTTTCAGACTTTTCATGCGGACAAGATCTGTGCTACCCTTTTTGGGCGGGACTCCGAACGGTGTACATTCTCTGTCGCTGTGCAAAATATACCTTCGGGAAAGTCTGAACTAACCTTATTTTGCCCTGTATGTTGCTTTTAGCTCTCCCTCCATATGTACTGATTTCCGCCACAGGTCCTAGCGGCCGCTACCTACATTCTTGAGTCTAGTGAGCTACGAGTAGCCAAGTTGCGGTTCCAATGGACATATTGGAAGTCTTCGACTTCGAAACTGTCTTCAACACTACTCAAAGATATGCCAGTCCTTGTGCACGTGCCGAAGGATCTTCTTGCTTTGGATGTGCAGCTGAGCCAACCCAATCGGAGTGCGCATTCTGATTTCTTTATTCATCCAGACTAATGGATCATATGTCCAGTTGAGCTTGGCGAGCCCCCGACGCTCCTGGTTGCCATATCATCAGGGAGGAACCATATTATGAGGGCCTCAGTAAAACTTTCATCCTCAGGCGTAACCTTCCGACCTCAAGAAGCTTATTACAGCGGAGGCAGGTTTCTTGTTAAAAACTTCTTGACAAAAATTGACAGAATCAAAAGAAAAGCGTTCCCAACCCCTGAATATCGTGGATAATGTCGTGATCCTTGAGGATATCTCTCTAGACACAATAGTATCTTTCATGGTCCCGCACTCAGATACTTCAGCGTTTCAGGCGATGGTATAATTAGTGACTTATGATTTGACACTAAGGACTCATTTAGTGTCAGAAAATTGTCGCAGAGGTGGAATATACCACGAAACCCGAACCCTCCCTTTCACGGAGGATGCGGGTGACACGAGTCGTCCTCACAGCTCTCCCTATATCGGTTAATGTGGAGGACTTTTTCCGGGGAAAACGGTTTGCACATTTCTCTCATCAACTCAGCGTGACTAATGTGATTTTTACCCCTTCACAGACTGTTTTCAAAGTTTACAATATCCACCACGAGCCATCAACATGTGAGAATATTGGCTGCGCATTTGACGGCGGAAGAAAGTGTGGATGGTGTGAAGATCGTTTCCTGTGTAACAAAAAACCGCGGTGTATTAGTAAGTCTCCATGAAGACTATACTTAATCATCTAAGATGTTGTGATTATCAATAGACGGTTACGCCAGCCCAACCAGCGAATTTTCTCTTCCACATTGACTCTGCCCACGGTCCAGGTCAGTTTAACCTTTCATTGATAGTTACATCGTCGAGCTCAATACCCATCCAAATAGTGCGCGATCCCCTCACTCTGCTTATACGCTATCGAATGCTCCGTGAAGGTATCGAATGTTTGTTGTGAAACTCAAAATTGAAATTGATCGACAAGCTTTTTTCAGAGGTCGAATCCGTCATAGAAGACGTTGTGGCACAAGTCCTACGAGATTCATCTTCGGCACATAATCACCGCGTCACGATCGTCGATAAACTGGTCGAGGCACTGGAACATGATGCAGCATGGGTAGACCTGTATGGGATTACTGGAGAGCTTCACGTCCCTGTAACACCTCAAACTGATACGGATGAGGCACTATCCCAACTAATTAAAAAATCCATGGAGGTTTGTTTGTTCGCGTCTTTTTTTTTTGATAATCTCACAGTCCCCAGTTGCTCCAAGAACACAAGCACCCTTTCCCGCCTACAGGCAATTGGAGGGAAATCAAAATCCCAGTCGATGTCCCAACTATGAACGTGCGTAAACTTATTCGCTAATTTTTATCTATCTTATGAATCGCTGCTCCAGATCGTCGCGGCTGCCGCGGTTCGCATCCTAGCTACCCCCTTCAGTGATATTGACTTGTCAAATCAAGAAGCCTTGCCACTTTATGCTGGACAGCCCATATCCGCGAGGCTGACCATAAACACCTCTTTCCACTGGGGCTCAAGCGTAGGTGACAAGGAGCGCCGATACGTGCTACGGTATGACGTAGAGGAGATGGTCCGTGATTGGCTTGTGAGTGGGCCAAAACGTGGGGACTTCGCCGCCATGGTGAGTGGAAACGCTCATCAAGTTCCAAGCACATAACCACTTATGTATCCTTCTATTTAGGACGGCGCGACACATGATGTACCCATCACGCTAATAGCCCTTCACCATGGGGAGCTCAGGCTGCCAAATGTGGTGGTGACTGCACTGCCAGTGGCAGGAGAGTTGACTATGGGCTCGATGGCGATACCAAGTATAGAGACATATCAACTCCACGGGGCGGAGACGGTGCTAGTGCTACCGCGTGGCGGGAGAACTACGTTTGTTGTTGGAATGGGATCGTATAATTAGTTTGTTTATCCGTGAGTGTACTCTTCAAGTAACGACGTGAGGCTAAAATGTAGACCTTTTGTAGCTGTTTGCCTTATATTATTAAGTCTCTGTATTTCTTTTTGTTGATCTCCGCTCTATTTCGACACATTTGCTTCATGCTGGTACTATGCCAAGTGCAACACACAAAAAAAAAGATTGAGAAATTTAAATTTAAAAAGCGTCACCTGAGCGATTCGAACACTCGCGTGCAAAGCACAACCGCTAGAATGCTGAATAGCAGGCGATCCCGTTAACCACTCCGGCAAAGTGACTGCGCACACGTCTGGCTTGATGCTCATCCAGTAAGTTTAGATGCCAAATGGGCACCATGTTACAATTTCGAGCTCCGATCGTGCTCTACCGAAAAAAAGTTGGTTCGTTAAACATTACCTCGAGCACTCTTGAACACGAACAGAAGATGGATGATCAGGGATGATCTATTTCATAGCACCGGAATTAAGCGTCACGAAGGCGAGCTCGAGTCACTTTGCCGGAGTGGTTAACGGGATCGCCTGCTATCCAGCATTCTAGCGGTTGTGCTTTGCACGCGAGTGTTCGAATCGCTCAGGTGACGCGCTTTTTTACTCTGGATGGCAACGACTATCATCGCTCAAAGCATTTTTAATTTAGAAGTATATATTTGGTGATTTGCTAGAATTTTTAATAACATATGCTACGATTAGAGACAGTGTTCGTTTCAGAGCCACAGAGTATCACGTGGTGCTATCAATAGCAATAGAAAGGTACGAGCGAGGTCTGCCTTCTTAAAATATCCTTCCCATTCTCAGCTAAGTTATCATACACATTTTTACCTCCGCGGTCACTTTGCCGGAGTGGCTAACGGGATCGCCTGCTACCTTAGCATTCCAGCGGTTGTGCTTTGCACGCGAGTGTTCGAATCGCTCAGGTGACGCGTTTTTGTCCCCTGCCCGGATAGCACTCCCACCGCCATTTCTTTTTGTACACGCCGAGTACGAACAATTTTTTAAGTATTCATGACCAATTTCAATGGTACAAGAATCAATCACCGTCGATCATACCCAGAAGAGAATCTTCAGAGGGACTGACGCGAGTGGAAAGCTGATGATGGTGCCCACTGGTCAGAGTTGGGGGACATGAAAAAGGAATAGGATGTACCCAGTGACAGAGAAGCTCAAGGACTTTCCTGACATCCTCTTCGAGATTCTCGTCCTGCCGGACATCAATATAACGTCCTTCATACACAATCTGCTGACTGCCCTCCTTGGACAATATGCAAAACATCCAATGTTCGCCGTTCGAGAGGCAATATCGTACAGTTGATTTCCTGTCAAAAATGACTTATTCTCATTAATTGACAAGAATATTATATTAGACTCACCGGCCACTTGCGGCTGCTGCAGCGGCGTGACCCGCAGCTTCGAATCGATATTTTGAGAATGTCCCTGCCTCGTCGTCCAATCTCCTTGCTTCGCATATCAAGCAAAAATTTGGTGTTGCTTTCAAAATTCCTGGGCGGTAACAGTATTGTATTTGCATGTCTGAGAGTTCAGTTTCAGTGTTTGACCAATAATTTGGAATTTAAACCACGCACCAGGTTCAGCAGAATCGTAACATGGTTTGTAGCAGATGTAGTCCATACATCCCGAGAGGAAGAACTGAGCTTTTGTAACGGGATTTTCAACTAGGACAGCATTTCTTGGTTCAAACTCCAATGCATGGTCGACAGCAACTGATGGCAAGCTGGTCCTTTTGTTGCAAATGTTGATGGCGACTACGAGGATGGCTTCGAGTATCATCCGCCTTGCACTCCCCTATTGTTCGAGTTTAAAATCATGAAAATTGCGGTAGACGACTCGTATCAGGTCACCTGATTCCCGAAATCGTGGTGGACGCAAGAAATCGTCGAGCACAAACTGTCCAGTTCTGTGTCGCCTATGGCTGAAACTAACATCCTGGTTTCGAGTTCGGCTCTATTGATGACGAGCTTCTTCCAGAGAATTCCCATTTTCGGGAAATCTTCCGAAACTAGATTCGAAAATGTACGTTTCTGTGCCAGCGTACAGTAGATTATTGAGTATTTGATTGAAGAAGAGGAGCCCGGGCCTGGGAGGTCGGACTAGCGGGCGCGCTAACCTGTGGTTCGATGCTCAGTATTCTTTCGAGCTCCTGGAGCTGCTCGTTTATGCAGAGGATTTTTCGCTCATTTTCAGCTGGCAGTTCCTCAATCGCGGCTAGGATTTCGGCCATTCTGTGTCGAGCGCGTTCAACCTGAGATTCACTGTGTGTCCTTATTCCTTTGTCATCGCCACGCTTTCTTTTGCGCAAGTTTTTGGGAGGCATATCGGCACTGCTCAGGTTTGAGCTATGCTTACTCCATGAGAATAGTCCGAGCTTTGTGTACTCAGCTGTGGCGTCACGATTACGTCATATGAGAAATCTGGAACCCTACGACACTCATCCCGATTAAATATTTTTGGAAGAAAGCTAAATCCATCTCCAAATCTCTACAAAAAAGAGACTGAAATGTCAAGTCCGACAAAAAAGTCGAAAAAGAGCCAAAAGCAACGACCCGAGTCTAACCCTCCCCAAAATGCAGCGACCATGACTCCGAGCCAAACCGAGCGCGCCCGAAAACGAGTGGTTAAGCTACGCTCAGAGCTCAAAGCGGTTTACCCAGCATCCGGAAGGAAGAGGATGCGTCTGGAAGCGCAGCTGGACGAGCTCCGGGAGACGTTCGGCATTGCGCCACAGGAAAAACCGAAGGTCCTTGCGTCTTTCTGCTCCCCAACATCTCTCGCTCAACCTAATTTTTAACTGAAAAATAGAAAATTTTAGTCTCTGATCTGGGCATCATGGATCTCTTGGGAATGGGGATTCAGCACAGGAAGGTCATCTTCAGTCTCGAGAAAGACCAACAAGACACCTCTGGGACGCGCGCGCCAGTCATCAATGAAGCAGAACTGCAGACCTTGTGCTCGAAGATTACTTGCATCCGCCAAAATTTTACGAGTGAGGTACGCTGGGCTGAGATCGGCTACAATTTGAGCTGGGATGGTTATTCGGCGCTGTTACACAGGACAAGGTGCGGAACATGACATTCGAAGCCATCTTCACGGCGGCCACCAAGATTTTCCATGAAAGCGCGACCGTGCCTTGCGTAGCTGTCACCGATGGACTGGAGTTCGGGATAGACGAGGCCATGATGATCGAAGACCCCGTCACAAGAACCCAGTATTTCCTCTCGGGACGCATCAACTATCTCTGCTGTACCTTTGAATCCGCCAGCCAACACGGTACGTGGCTTAGTAAAATGCGCAAAATCTCTCGAAATCAGAACTGAAATTGAAATTTAACTCGCTGTACGCCAGCAGACAAGATGCTCCGAGTCGGATCGCGCTGCCAGCGCCTGCGTGAAGTGCTGGAAAACGCACAGAGCGCGTGCGTAGTGGTCGAAGCGAAGCAATCGGATGCAGGCAAGTCTCTCGTCGACTATACCCGCGAGGCGGTCGGCCAGGCTGTGGCCGTCGCCGCAAGCCGTAGGTGAGCCAACACGGTCACCACCGTAACATTTTCGTAAAAACCACACAGCAAAGTACACCACTCACTGGATTGCTAGTACCCGCTCGGCCGTCCGCTACTGCACGTCGGACGGCAAATCCTGGCAGTTCGGTGTCCTGTGCTGGCGGGGCGCGCGGCAGGTCATGCACGAGGGGCGTTTCCTGCCCGTGGGGTACTACGACCGTGATCTCGCGAAGAATGTGAGGATTATCGTTGACATCCTGTGCCACTGGGTACGTACGCGATTGTATTTTGCGCGCACACCGACGAGTGGCTGACATTGCATTTTTACATGTACGTTGGCATACGATACCCTCGCTAGCTTGTGGCGGGTACCGATCCCGCTGAAGACCATTTTTGTAGCCTTGTCGATATTGAATAGTGCAAATTCGAAGTGGCATTTCATCATTTTCCATCTACGATACTGCGGTTGTAACGATTTAGAGTGCTTAAATAAGAAGGTTTGCGATATGTATATCTCAATTTTATTAAATGAAATGGCGGTACAAGAATGACAATAACTTTCAACGAGGGAACAACTCAGGTGGCGCACGCTCGACTTGAAGATTTAAATGAGCCTCCCACCCAGGGACGCCAATGCGCCGCCGCATTGAGCATACTAACGGCGTCTCTTGGCGCTTCCTTGATCACTGGCTTCAGTTCTTCAGTGCCCTGTCAGTGTTGGCGGCTAGTGCTTGCCAGTGGTCAGTCAGTCAGTCAGAGTATAACCTCCAAATCCTACTTGCCACAATATATGTCTGCCAGCCCCTGAAAATGTATTAATTTGGGCAATGTACTACAATTGAAAATTCAGAGGTGCTCACCTGTGCTAGCTCATTGTCAATCTGAAAAGTGCACTCAGAGAATCTACCCCAGTAAACCTAACTGGATTCCTGTGCACAGTCAATTCAAAACTTGGAGAGGTCCATAGTCAACGAGCGGGATGGTTGAACATATTTTAGTATTTATAGTCTATGTCGTGCACGATGCAGACGTAGTAGTTGGATACATATTTGATACATACTGTAGTTGTTTCTAGTTTCGTTCTTGCTCCTCTTTCCTCTCTTTACATAAGAATTGGTACCACTACGCAGCAGCAGGTGCCTGGTTCTGGGCCTTTGCCTCCTCCTCGATAAACTCGCGGATATACGTGACGAGCTGGTCCGTCCACTCCTCCGTGACGGCATTATACAGCGACACGCGTATACCGCCGACCGAGCTATCCAAAAAACCCATTAAGCACAACCACCCTATACGAAAGAAAAAGAAAAAGCACACACCGATGCCCCTTGAGCCCCTTCATCCCGCGCTCCTCCGCGCCCTTCAAGAACCGCGCCTCCGCCCCCTCCCCGCTCACGCCAAAAACGACATTCATCCAGCTCCCCTCGCCCTCTCTCACTTTCGGCACCAACACCCCGCGCGCCGCACCCTCCCTTAGCACCCCATACACTTTCTGCATCTTCCGCCGATTCACCTGCTCATAGTACGCAACCCCACCCAAGGCCTTGCTCCGCTTCAGCACCAACCCGGAGATATACACCGCCAACACGCTGGGCGTGTTCGGCATCGAGTCGTTCGCGGCAAACGGTTTGTACGCAAGCGAGATGGGCACGGGTACATGTGTGCCCCCGAGGCGCGCGGCGGCGTCGACGTCGACGATGCAGTCCTTGCGCACGATGACGACCGTCGCGCCGGCGGGACCGAGGTTCTTCTGCACGCCGGCGTAGATGATCGCGTGGTCCGCGAGGCGCGGGATCGGGCGGCTCATGAACGACGAGGAGTAGTCGCCCACGAGCGGGAGCAGCGTGCCCTCAGTGGACGGGAGGAGGTGAAACGGGAACGACGTCGGCGTCCCTTCGACGCCGGCGAACTGCGTCCCGGACACGGTCTCGTTCTCGCAGTAGTAGATGAGCACCGGGTCGCGCGAGAACGTGTACGCCGCGTGCGGGGGGAGCCCGTCGAACGACTTCCCGTCCGCCGCGTGTGCGCGCGAGTCGGCGGCGACGTGCACCGTCGCGGCGCCGTGTGCGAGGAGGCGCGTGGCCTCGGCGTGGGCGGCCTTGGACCAGGAGCCCGTGAGGACGTAGTCGAGGACGCGTTCCGTGTCCGGGAGCTCTGGGTGGAGGAGTCGGTGCCGGGCGAGCATGTTGAGTACGACGGCGGAGAACTGGGCTGTGCCGCCGCCCTGCATGAAGAGGATGTCGTGGGTGGGCGGGACGGCGAGCTGGTCGCGGATGAGCGTGGCGGTGGCTTTGATGTAGGCGTCGAACTCTTTGGAGCGGTGTGAGATCTCGGCGATGCCGATGCCGGTGTTTTCGAAGTTGAGCAGGCCTTGGGCGGCTTCGAGCAGGACGGACTCGGGGAGCGCGGAGG